CTCAGAGTGAGCACCTTGTTCACGGGGGCTGAACTGCTGGAAATGTTTAATACCCATCTATTTGCATACATTCAGTGCCTTTTTCCTTTTAAGATGCTATGGGTGAGTAAAGTGGCTGCGCTCTTCTGCTCCAGTGCACAGAGCTGGGCAATGCCAGACAGTGTCCCTGTGGAGTAGGGCAGGTGCTCAGCTGTGCTCCATGGGCAGCAGCAACCAGGAAGGGGCTGTTTTGTGCATCAGACTGGAGTCTGCCACGAATCTGCACCCTGTAATTAAGCAGACCAGATGGGAAGGACGTTGCTGCCCTTCTAAGAGTGAAAAAGAGCTCAGGCAGTGAAGCAGAACGAGGGTGTTGGAAGGGAGCAGCAGTCAGTATTTGTACCTGATACCTAGTCTTATGGAAAGGCTTAAGGAAAACTTTGATTCCTTGCCTGGCACTTGCTTGGACTGCAGGGAAAGGTGCCTCTGGATTATCCCTTAGACTGGCCTGGGTGGACTGAGGGGCCCAGGAAGGGCATGGATGCACCGTGCAGGGTGGGTGGGGATCTCACCAGATTGCTTTTGCTTCCAGGTGGCAGAGGCCATGAGGCAGATGCAAGAAAAGAAGAATGTTGGAAAAGTCATCCTGGTTCCTGAAGCACCGAAGGAAGAATCCAAAAAGGCAGAGAACTAAAGAAAAGAGATGTATGCAGATTATGAATTCACGGTTTAACTCCCTGATCTCTTTGGGACCTGAAAATGGACAGATCAGTAGCTTCCATCTTCACCAGTACAAGAACATCATGGTTATCATTCAGATGAGGTTTGCATGCTCTTGTGACTGACCCTTTGCCAGATATGCCTCTTGCTCTCTCTTTTGAAGGCTGTTTATTTTGTACGGTTTTCTAATCACTTGTTTCTCTACTGAATTTCCAAACTAACCTTACTTTTTCTCACAGTGCAGCTGAAGCTTCCAGGCAGTTGGTGACTAACAACTGCACAGCCTGTCACTGTAAAGTCATGGCGCAATCTACTGTAGCAACTGCCAAGTATCTCTGCAGAAACCGAGCCCTGATGAAGTGTCACCTCTGTGAAGCCTGTTCAGCAGAGAATTGGCCAAATGTAGGGTGTTTCCTCCACAGCCAAAGCACAGCTGGCCTAGTTTAATTCAAGCAGGGGTTTCTCTTCTGTTCACACTAGCCCTGCTCTTTCCCCTCTGCTTTTGTAGGCCACTAACACAGTCAGATAGTAACAACTCATGTTATCTTTGCCTCGACCATCCTGGCAATTTGGAGTCTGTGGCATTCCACACTTAATTACTTCTCTTTACAGTCAGCAAATACCCTGACAGGCTGAGCTGGGCTGTGTCTGAATGCAGAAAAAAAAGTTTCAATTAGGTAACTTGATCTTGTCCATTTTCTATTTCCAAACTGGACAGAGAGATCTGAACCGTGTCTGATTCTTGGAGACCGTAAGGACTCAACTGTGTCAAACGACTGGAACAATTGATGTTGGCTCTGCGCTTTGTTATCTTGGGCTCCAAGTTGGTATTGCTAAGGCTAAACTTCACCCTCCTCTCTGGGTTTCCAAGGGCTGCAGTGTTGAATTGGACTTCATCGAGATGGGAACGCTCGCACCAGCTTGGGGTGCTGCAGTAGGGCTTGACTCTTCTTCTCGTGGATCTTTGACTCTTGGGACCCTTGGGCTCTCTTCCAGCACTGAGGGTTTAGGAGCTGCCTGTGGTGTTCCTCCTATAGCAGAACTTTGTTTCTCTTCTGCTTTTCTTCTGGGCATTTGAAAATAGAGCTGTGCAGAGAGCCAGGCCCAGTTCTGTGAGCACCTTGAGTCCTGGGTGGTGCTTCCTGCTGGACCCTGCTTGTAGTCCCAGTCAACTCTGGTGCTGCTGGTACTTGCTTCGAGGCTTTGTCATAGACTGTAGGTGCTGTGGGCTTTTGGGCTTACTTTTGGATTTGAAAAGGTAAACCCAAGGGCACCAAGAAGGGCTGCTCATCATGGAAGAACTCAGGCTCCAGGAGCAAAACCTTGCAACCAGAAGTCCTGCTTAACCAACCCCCAGGGCAGGGCCCAGGGCCCAAGGAGGAGGGCAGGTGCCTGCTGGGGGCAGGGCCCCGCACGCTGCCCCCCTGGCCCACGAGAGAGCCCATGCAGGGCTGGGGGTCCTGTGCAGGGGAGGAGTGTGGCTTCTTCCTCAGCATGCTCTGTCCTCCAGCAGGGCTCCTGTCCATCAGGAGCTTGGGCTCAGTCCAGATGTTCTTTAGAAATGCGTAGGCACAGCTTACCTGGCTATTTTAAATATTGAAACCACCCTCTTCCCTACCACCTCAGAGGAGTGCTGGAACCCTCTCACAGATCCTTGTCAGTTCATCTCTTGAACTTCATAAATGTGGGCTGATGGAACTCTCAAGCACAACTTCTTATCTGTCTGAACCCAAAATCTTGCTGCTTCTTTCAGTCTGCCCTGTCATGCTAATTTAGATTAAATCCAACAGTGTTTAATGCTGCTTTACTAGGTCTGACATCAGGACTGTCCAAATTGCTGAAACGGAAAGTCTGGACCTGTTCCTCTGAGAAACTGGACCTCACCTTGGTGACAGAGCAGCGTGCTCAAATGGCACACACAACCCTGCACATCTTCAGGTTCTACTCACTGGTGAAAAGGAAAACTATCCCAGTGTGTTTCACAGTAGCATCCTCTCCCCTGCTTTACTCTTGGGTCAAGCACGTGCTCAGTGCCTTACATGGGTGGCCTTGGTTGGGTGGTGTGGCCCAGGAGCCTCACAGGCTCCCATCGGACCCCCCTGACCCACAGGAAACAGCATCTCAGTGCCTTCTGCTGCATGACTAGGAAGTCACTGGGGCCTTTTCCCATTCTGGCCAGGTCTATTTGCCAAAATCCTGTTTTGACTCTTGCTGGCTCTCTTTTGTGAACACTGGTGATGTCATTGGACTTTCTATGAATAAGCCGTACTCTTCCCAGGTGTTCCAGCCTCTCCAGGGCTGTCCTGGTGGTTCTGTGCTCCCCAGTCCAGAAGACCTGTTTGTAGAGCCCTTGTCCCCCCCAGGGTGGCTGTTTGGCTCCTGGCAGTCCTGGGGTGAGGCTTTATCTGCTGCCCTAGCCTTGGCTCTCTGGGAACAATCCCTGTTCCCAAGTCTCTCCGGGTATCTTGCTCACGTGTCTTCTGCATACAAATTCCTGAAGCCCTTATCAGGGCAGGAACAATGCCAAACAGTTACTGTTCCTTAGAGTTCAGCACTGGCTGTTTTGTGTCCCTTGGTAGCAACAGTGTTTTCTACAGAAAGACCAAGATTAAATGTAACCTTGCTCTCCTCTGCCCTTGCTCAGTGTCCTGCCCTAGGTGGGTGCTCTTGGTTGTTTTTTGTTTTTCTTTTTTTTTTACTTTTTATGGGACAGTAAGTGTAGAACCTACGTAAAAACAACTCCAGAGGTCTTAATCAGGTTAACCAGCAGGTTTGTATACTAAGGACCAAAGCAAAAAGCAAAAACAAACCCCACTATAAAAACCATTCCACTCAGCGTTGCTTGTTTAGGGCAAAGTTGTGCTACTGAAGAACTGGGAGATTCCTGTGCTTAATCACGTGTGCCATTCCAGCTATCAGAAGTGCAATTTAATGTTTATTTTACTGATTGTCCGACTCCAAGGTTCTGCCCTGAGGAGTACAAGTGGGAAGTGTGAGTAAGGAGCCGATGAGCAGAGGAGGGGTCCCCAGCCCTGCCTGCCACAGGGGGCTCAGCATGGGATGCCTGTGCGAGTGCCTCTCCCAGACTGGTGCTGCTGGTCTTGCATAAAGGGCGACTCCTTGGCTCCAGCAGGCAGCTGTTGCCACATTTTTGACTGTTTGGGTTCTCTGAAGGTGCTGGATGCAGGAGGGGAAGGGAGCAGAGGCGGCCTCCACTCGCAAAGAGGGACACAGCCCGTTCCAGGTGCTGTGGGAAGGAGTTTGGCTGCACATTTTGTTTCAGACACCTGTCTTAAATTAGAATCGATTGACCAGGGACAAGTAAGAAGCACTGTGGGTCTTGGGCTTCAGCTAGTGCAGAATTCTGGCCCACTGGCAGCTGCTGTCATAGGTGTTACACCACTGGTTGCCTGAAGTCTCTGGTGTGCTGAGCCCTCGTGATGGCAAAGTGTGTGACTGGCAAGTAGTACATGAGCATGACGTGAAACACATTAGACTCTGAGTGAGCCTCTTACAACATACGGTGTGGTCTGTACTGTCTGAGTCATGTTGATTTGCAGATAACGCGATATGAGTGATGCTCATCCTACAGACACGTGGAAAACCTTTGTTTAAAAATATCTATTCTGCTTTGTGCGTGTAACCAAGTTGGACAGAAAGCAAGTGTGCCCCTGATGTTTACATGATTATGTGTAATGCTCCTCTCTCAAATGTTACCATATGCCTTATGTGTTTCAGATGGTAATTAAAAGCATAACAAAACCGTCCATGGGACACTGCTCAGGTTTCTGTTGGCGTGAACCCTCTGCCCTCAGCTTGGCCTCTGGACAGGTTCAGCTGATAAACTGTAACTCTCCCAGCACGAGATGCCTCTGCTCTGAAACACAACTGTTAATTGTTGCTCCTAAGGCGCTGTTCTGGAAGGCAGCTATGGTGCTTTTTGTTTGTGAAGCCCTTAGCTGAGCTCTGCCCTTTGTGTCTGAGGTACCTCTGTAGCCAGCCCGGGCTGAGGGCAAGACAAGCCATGAACAACCACTACCAAACGTGAGAATAAATCCTTTTTATTTGCGTTTCTCCACTTTGGAGACTGTCCCTGGGAGGCAGCTGTTGCAGGTGCTGAAAGCTGTTAATGTTCTTCCCCAAGAGAGTACCAGGTCACCTGCTGGTCCCAGAGCAGGGGCTGGAGAGGAGCTGAAGCATGGGGCTGTCTGCTGAGGCATGAAGACATGAATGACAGCTTCTCTCCGGCCCTGGCTCTGGCAGCAGCTGAACTGGCTGCAGGAGGTGGAAGACACTTACACTGAGGCCTGTTAGGGGCAGGGATGGAGGTGCTGCTGCCGCTAATGCGCAGATTTCTGGCTACCTACGGGGGACACAGGAGCTCCATGGATTAACAGCTGTCTCTATTAAGCTGCAGTTTTGTCAGCAGGAAGGGAAGGCGAAGCAAAGCCATGGGCTGTGGCCACAGGAGTCTCATGCAATGCCCAGTTTCTTCAGAACTGCACGGACCTCCCGGAGGTACTGGGCGTCAGGGTAGCCGTTCCTGTGGAGCAGAGAGGGAAGGGCTGTAAATCCTGCTGATGTGCCCTGCAAGCTGAAGCAAAGCGAGGCACCAACTCTGCCACTGTGGGAGCACGGAAGAGCCACCCCTGCCGGGATTTGTTGAGCTGGAGCCCATAGTTCTCCTCTTAATTGCTAAAAAAACCCCACAGCCATACCCAGAAGCTTAGGATGAGATGGGCCATACCTGGCTTTGCCTCCACTCAAGGAGGTTTTGTGTGGGATAAGGCCCCATGTCACTCTTTCCTCTCCGTTGCAGGACTTGATCTGGAATGTCAGTCCATGCTCAAATGCTTTCTTCAGCAGCAGTGCTGTCTTCTGCCCTTCCTTGTTGTCAGGCAGGAAGGCACAGAAATCTCCCCCTTTGTAAGACTGTCCTGGGCGAGGATCCCCAACCTTAGAACAGGAATAAGGCATTTTAAACAATGGCTGGAGTGCTGTTCCTCGGAGGGGACTTCTAAGGTTTGCACCAGCTTGAAAAATACACCACTGGCCACAGTCCCCAGGGGCTGATAGGCACTGTCAACTAAAACCAGATCACACTTGCTCCTCTTCAAAAGCAACAAGCTGCTCCCAAACCTAGTGTGAAGCGTTTTGCCTTGCACAGGTCAACACCTCTGCTGCTCTCCACGTGAGGTAAGGACCTGGGGCTGCCCTTTCCCCCCAGCTACACACACACGCACTTGCCCTCACCTCAACCACCCTGAGAGACCCCCTGAGTGTGCTGTGGCGGGCTGGGGAAGCCCCAGGGTGGGTACCTACCCCCTGCACGCCATCAGGGATACTGTAAGCAACTTGAAGCGTCAGGTCTCGATAGTAGCCGGGCAGGCTCTGAGACAGAGAGGAGATCTTGAATGTCCCCCGGATCTTGGGACTCCGGGCGGCTGAGGAGAAGCTGCAGCATGCTGGCTGCACACTGTCTGCTGCAAAACACGTCCTGCACAAGGCATGGCCGCAGGAGCCCTGGCAGGTCACCCCTGAGCCCTGGCAGGCATCACACTGGCCCGGGGGAATCGTGCCGCTTTCCTGTCCGAGGCTGGAATCTCTTCTCTGCTGGGATGGGAGGTCAGGCTCCTCCTGCTGTGCCCTTCCCTGGCCCCTGGGCTCTGCTGCAGGTGCCTGTTGGGCCCCAGCTGGTGGCAGCTCAGCAGCCGTGGCCCTGTACAGCCATGTGGGCAGGGAGTGAGGAGCCCCCTCAGCTGCAGGGACCGGGGAGCGCAGCTGTCCCATCACTTCATGGTGGCCTCCTCTGCTCTTGCCTTTGTCTCTTGCAAACTGGAATCTGTCTGGCAAAACCTGTTTTAGCCGGGTGATGTCAGGCTCCCCCAGGGACAATTTTGTCTTCAGCTGTTCCTGGGACTCCCTCAGACCAGTGGGACTTGGCTTATCCCCTGCAGCAGGGTTCAGCAGGCTGCTTCCTCCTTGCCCAGCCCCAGAATCAACACGGCCATTGGCCTCCTCTTGCCCCCTTGCCTGCTGGAACATCCAAGGACTGGGGGGCCTCTTTTCCTCAGTCTCTGGCACCCGGGAAGCCCTGAGTATATCAGTGGGGGCTGCTTGACTGCTGATGTTCAGCTGCTGCAGGCCTATCTGGAGGGACTCCAGGCTGCTGGAAAGGGCTGCATCCAGCACCGTGTCCTGGCTTCTACTTGGCTGGATGACACTTGATTGCCCTGTACTCTCTGGTCCTGGAGACACGGATGAAGACTTCAGGGCATGTAGCCTCTTGGAGGAAAACATGTGGAAGGCCTCAGTCACTCCTGGCAGCATTTCCTTGGGGAAGGCAAGATACAGCTTGTACTTGTCTTTGCGGAGTCCAACCTGGAGGGATTTTCCTCGCAGGAGGCTGCACAGTTCACTCAGGGCGCTGTCATCTGGTCCATCCACAGCAAGGTCCGAGTAGCTCAGGCGCTGACACACCAGGTCAGGGCACTTCTGCACGAGAGCTTCCACCTGCCATTTAGCCTGGAAGAGCCTGCTCCTGTCCTCTGCCTGCAGCGTCAGCACCGTGCAGTCCCCAGCACGGCGCTCCGAGATCTGCACCTTTCCCGCCCTGCACAGCTCGTCAATAGTGACACGGCAGGCGTCTCTCAGGTAAGACCACTGCAGGAAGTCCAGGCTCATTTCCTCACTCACCCTGCTGCTGCCGCCACTGTCTCGGGACTTGTCGCTTCCCTCTAACCTGGGCAGGGAGAAGCTGTTGGAGCGGCGCAGCTGAGGTCTGGATGCAGAGGGTTTGGAGCCTAAAGCAGAAGAGGTCCTTGTCACCTCAAAGGTGCTGGAGATGCCAGCGAGGGAGTGGTGCCCAATGGGACCTGAGCCTTTAGAGTCCCCAGGATGCTGTGAAGTGCCGTTTTCTTTGCCCCCAAGGGGCGACAGCACCTTGTGCCCTGGGAGCCTGACACCTCCTTCGACACGGTCCCGTTCTGTGGGGTCGTTCTTCTGAGGTTCTGCTGCTGAGCCCAGAACCTCAGCTGTTGTAGGGACAGGAGGCTGATTCTTCTGGGTCAGTGCTGTTGGGTCACTCAGACCAGGAGCATCTGATGAGTGTTTCCTGGAAAGCTGCACCTGTCCCTCTGGGGGAGAGTCCTGATTCAGCAGGATTCCCTGGCCAGCCTGAGACCTGTCAGCTTTCAGGGCACTGAACTTGGCAGCTAGCTTGAGCTCACCTTTCAGCTCTGGCCTGCCTGAGTTGAGCCTTGTCACTGAGGAGTCCACAGTCACTTTGGGGAGATGTAGCGAAGCCTCTGTGGTGCTGGAGGCTGTGGGGCGTGAGGGCTGGTGGCTGCTCAGCATGTCAACTGTGCGTGCAGCACCTCTCCTGGTGATGGAATCCTGAAGGTATTGCTTGGCCTGGGACACATCCACGAGGTTTCCAATGAGATAAATCTGCTTCGTGTCCTCGTGGCAGAGCAACTGGGGATACAGCTTCTGCAGGTCGCGTGTCAGAGCCCTGAGTGCCTGGCTGTCCACTCCCAGCCCTCTCTTGGCGATCTTCTCCTTGCGCAGGCTCACCTCCAGCTGCTGGTAGAGCTGCTGCAGGGCCAGGCGGGCCTCTCTCAAGGCCTCCATGTCCCCAGGCAGACCTCCAGATGGCTGGAGGTACAATATGGCGATGCCATCGTTGCTGACATCCACCACGTCCACGTGATGCTGGCGCAGCACAGCTTGGTACTGGGCAGCGCAGAACCTCTGCATGTACAAGTAGATGTCCAAGTCCATCAGTAGAGAAAAGTCCTCTGCCTGTTCAGCAGCTTCCCCATCCACTGGGCCCCGAGGTGATGGGACTTTAGCTGTCGTTTCACGCACCTGGTCCCAATTTGGCAGCTTTGCTGTCTCTTCTGCTGGCTCAGTGGAGTCAGGCACTTGCTGATGCATCCCCACCTCTTTGGCCCCGTGGCTGGCCCCTGGCAGGAGGATCTCCCCAGTGGCTTTGCTCCCGAGGTTCAGGCTGCCCAGGAGGTCCCTGCTGAAGGCCTGCAGCTCAGTGAACGGGCCCTGGACTACGCAGTGTGTGCTTTTAGAATCGAAGTTGAACTGCACGTTGCTGTAGCCCTTGTGCAAGTCCCTCAGGAGGGTTTTGCCAGTAGGAAGCTTGCCATAGTCAATTGTCATGCACGCACGTATGAAGACCTGCAAGTGGATAGCAAGGGAGTGAGAGAGCAAGGACCAGAAATAACCCTCCCTCCAAGGCACAAGAGAAGGCAAGTGCACCTGGCCCCTGTATTATTATGACAGAAGAGATGACCAGTCCTCCATCTCTCTCCCTCAGCATCCAGCTTTCAAGAGATGGAGCCTGACACAGTCGGGACTGAAAGACCCAGACCAAGCAACTCCTCAACCTTGTGCACTTGCCAAAAGCTTTCTGCAACCAAGGGACGAGAGGGGGAAGTCACACAGAGATGTGGCTGCATTTTTACCCACTGGGAGCTCTCCAAACAGCCCAAACCCAAGAAATCCACTGTCGTTTCTGCATCTGAAATGCAGTTGCCCTCCTGCCCTTTGCAGAACTTCATCTGGAGACCTTGAAGCAGTTCTGGCACCACAGGCTTGCAAAAAGGTCTGCAAGGCCAGGTTAATTCCCATGGCCTTGTTTTTGGGACTCAGACATGAAAATGTGAGATGTGGCTACTGCTATAGTCTCTTGAAAATGGAGGAAGAGGTGAGAACACTCCATTGACTCCTAGACACCAGCATGTCTGTACCCTAAGCTTTCCTGAGGAGGAGAGAGGAACAATACACTGATGACATGGCAAAGACACAAACAAGATCCCCCATGTGGCACCAGATGGACTGGGGAAAAGTGCACTGTTCCTCCAGCCTGACTATTCTTCCTTTGACAGGCACGAATGCCAGATGACCAAGAGCACAGCCTGCCCGTGCTATTAGCATAGAAATTATTAAATTTTTTAATCCTCTTTTGAATACGAATAAAAATGGATTTAAGTGTAATTAAGCTGAAAGGAGAGAGCGAGGTCCCCCTTCCCGAGCTGCCTGCCAGGCAACAGAGCCTGCCTGGAAGCAGCTGGAGCTGACGTGACCTCTCAGTACCTCATCGGGGCTCAGCAACTCAGTGTGCGGGGTCACCTCCAGTGGGTACTGCATCCCTCCGATCGCCAGCACGTGGTCCTTCAGCTTCAGGATCCTCTGGGCCACTGGTGGGAAAAGCCACCCGAACCTGCGTCAGCCCAGCTGAGGGGCAGCAGCAGGGCTGTGGGGACAGGGGCTGGGGATGGCAGGACAGGAGACAGCAGGACAGAGCCCCCGAGGGTCCCGCGGCCCTTACCTTCCGGCGCCTCGAAGGTGATGAGGCCGCAGGGCGGGGGTCCGGGCAGCACCTGCACCTCGGTGATGTCCCCGCCGCCGTTGCGGGAGCGCAGGAAGTGGATGGTCAGCTTGTCGGCCAGCCTGTCCGGGGGCAGCTCGGCAGGGAGGCCCCGCACCAGCACCGTGCGGCCCGCCATGCCCGCGGGGCAGCGCCCGCGCCCTCGGGAAACCCCCCCCCCCGGGAGCCCCCACGGCGGCTCCCCCGCTTCGCCGCCCCGGGCCCTCGCCCGCCCCGTCACACCCCGGCTCTGCGGCCCCTACCCGGCCCCCGCCCCGGCCCCGCTCCGGCCTCGCCGCCGCGGGGAAACGAAAGCGAAAGCGGGGCCGCCCCGCCCAAGCCGGCACCTCCCCGGGCCCCGCGGGACAGCCCGGCCCCGCCGCCGACCCTGTCCCGGGAAGGGCACAGCCTCCCCGATGGCTCTTGCACGCAGCTCCCGTCCCGTCCCATCCCGTCCCGATCCCAGCACGACAGACACGGTGCTCTCGCCAGATGCTTTAATTCCCGCCGTGCCCGGGGGCACACGGAGCTCCACAGTCTCGGGCTGAGCAGGACTAGCCCTGGGTGTCCTCCACTAACACGGCCATCCCCGTCCGCCCTGCCGGGACGTAGGCGAGGGAATCCACCTCCCCGCCGCCGCGGCTGGCCTTCTGGAAGTGGATCTCCAGGGTGTCTTTCATGGACTCCTCAGACAGCACATCGGGAATGCCAGAGAGCAGGACAGTCCTGGGGCAGCGGGAGGGCTGGAGCTGGACAGAGCTAGGGGTGTGAGCTGTGTGGTGGCAGAGGGAGAGGGGCTTCAGGAGCCCCCCCACGTGTGCTGCCTCGGCACAGGCTGGCAGGTGCTGCTTGCTCAGGGTTTGTGCCTTTACCTGCAAGTCGGTGATGTCTCCATTCATGTATGGTGATATTTTGACTTCATATTTTCCTCCCATAATAGGAACCTGGATGCGTCCTCTCTCAACTAGCAGCTCTGCCACTGAAGATAGAGAGGAGAGCCCTGAACTGCCCAGGCCCCCTATGGGGTCCAAGGGACGTTATGTCCCTGGCACAGGCACCAAGGCTGACACTGCCCAACTCATTGTCAAGCTCACCTACACCAGCATAGTCTCAGGGGAGGCAGGACAACCTAGGCTCACTGTGCCTTCCCTGTTCCTCTGACACAGCTACATGTGCCCTCAGGAGATTATCCATTTCCCTCCAGAACAGGCTGGGCTGCTCCACCCTTGCCAGCCACCCAAGCCCAGCACACCCCACGCACCTCCATCCTGTGCGAAGGTCAGCACCACCTGGCCAGAGTCGTCCAGGAACTCCCTTCTCTCCACCTCGCTGCCCCCATTCTTTCTCTTGCTGAAGAAGAGCTCCAGCTTGTCCAGCAGTGCCTCCTCAGGGATGTCCAGGCTGGGCAGGTCAGACACAAGGATGTTCCTGCTGCTCTGAGTCAGCCTGATCTGTGAGTGGCACAGGCCATTCAGCGCCAGAGCAAGACCAGCCCCAGAGCTCAGGGGAGCAGCACTGAGCAGGGCTGGTGGCAGTGCCCTGGTAGTGGCAGGCTCGAGCAGGGGGTAGCATTGTGCCCAGGGCAGCTCTGTGGCTGGGATGCAGCAGGCTCTCAGGGTCTACCTCCAGGGCAGATGGCAGCAGTATCTCCACAGGTGCTGCCTGCACTCGTATTCTGCACTGGTCAAGGTCCTCTACTTCCTCCCAGCAGCTCAGCTCCACCATGTGCTCTTTCATCTCTATGATCCTCTGGGCCACTGCAAGCAGGGAGAGCCCCCAGCACAGGGCAGTGACTGCCTGCTCCCAGTGGTCTGTGGGACAGGACAGAGCAGGGAGAGCCCCCAGCACAGGGCAGTGACTGCCTGCTCCCAGTGGTCTGTGGGACAGGACAGAGCAGGGAGAGCCCCCAGCACAGGGCAGGGACTGCCTGCTCCCAGTGGTCTGTGGGACAGGACACGGTGCAGGCAATGCTTTGGGGAGGAGCCCCACACAACACAGGTGGAGGGGCAGCACCAAGCCCTGGAGGGGACACAGTGCAGGCCCCAAAGTGATTGAGAAGGACACCAGGCCAGGGCAGTGCTCTTCTCACACTTACCCTCTGCCGTCTCAAAGGTGATGAGAGCCGAGCCCCCTGGAAGAGGGTAGCGGATCCATGGGGTGAGCATCAGTTTGTTCATGTCGTCCTTGTTTGCTACAAGTCCCTTAAATACCATTTTCTTCTCTGGCAAGTCGGACTGCAACTAGGTTGAAGTACAGACAGCACCTGGAGGAGACCAGACCCTGCGCAGGCATGTCTCAAGCTCATGGCTCAAAATAAACAGCTGGAGAGCCTCAGCAGAGCCTCTCCTAGGGTCTGGCTGTGCCTGGAGTCCCAAAGCCATGACTGGAGCTCCTGGCTCTGAAAAGGAGCCACAAGCAGGAGCTGTGCCAGTCATCACACAGTGCCCAGCTGCATTTGCCTGCAGCCTCTCCAGCCAGGTTGCACTTTTGTCAGCAGACCTGGGTGCACACACACAATCTATTACCATGACAAGATCACCCTGGGAGCGCCTCTTCAGTTCTTCCAGTTTGTTTTCCAGGACCTGCTTCTCCATCCTCAGTCTGGTGTTCTTCTCCTGTGCTACAAAAATGTCCATCTGGAAGGAAGGAAAGAGGGGGCAGCAAGGGAACACCAGGACGTGAGGGGCTGCAGCACACCTCTCATTCTCAGCACAGCATTATTCCTGGACACAGCTTCACCCACACCATTCTCCTGCTCGTGACCACCTGCAGCCCTGCCCTGGCTCCTTGCCCTTGAGGACAGCTCTCCCTTCACCACCATGGCCCTGCCTCACTTCCCAGCATGGGCCTGTTTCCTGTGAAACCTCCACGAGAGCCAGAGCAAAGAGACCTCAGAGCAGTGAGCTGCGTGATGCAGCCCCTCCACCCCCCACGCCTTTCCAAGCCAAAGACACATCCTCTGAACACCAACCTGGTGGGCTCTCTCTTCGTCTCTGTTTAAAGATATTTGATGCTCAATAATTTTATGCAGTATTTCTCCCTCTTTCCTCAGCTCCTGTGTCCTTTGCTCTGCAGCTTCCTTGGCCGTTCGTAGCTTTACACACTCTTGCTCCAGAAGACTGTAAAGCTCCTGTGAGAAGCACCATCAGACAGTAAGACCCTTGCAGACATTGTGCCACCCAACTGGCCACCCAGTCCCAGCACAGGCTGCTCCTTTGGGAATGAGCCCGGATCCCAGGACCGGCTCTCTTCTCCATGGGATTAGCCCTCTCCACCGCCTCTGGCTCACAGTCCAGGAAAAGACACTCGAGCTCATGGCCAGGGCCGGCTGGGCGGATCCTGGGGCGATCCCGGGCAGTTGGGATCCAGCCGATCAACGCTCTGTCCCGGACGCACCTTGAACCGCTCGATCTCCCGCCGGAGCTCCTCGGGGCTCTCCGGGCCGTCGGGATCCAGCCGATCCATCCCCTCTCCCGGTTGCACCGTGGACCGCTCGGGACTCTCCGGGCCGTCGTGCAGCCGGACGAAGGAGTCCTAAAGAGAGGGGTCTCAGCCGCTCTGCGCCGCCTCCCCCCCCGACCCCCAACCCGCAGGTCCCCTCGGTTTAGCTCCTCCTCACCGTTTCCGAGTCCATCCCCGCGGCGCTGGTGGCAGCACGGACCGGAGCCCAGGGCAGCCCTCCCTGCCCGGTGTCCGCTGCCCGTGGGCCCCACACCGGCTCCCCTTTCGCTTTCGCTTCCGCGGCACCGCCCCGCCCCGCCCCGGCCGGAGGAAGGCACGGACCGCCCGGGCTCCCCCCCCGCCCCGCCACGGCCCCAAACCCCGTCCACCAACCCCAACTTCCTCCTGCCCGCCCCGCGGAACTCGCCTCCCCCAAACATCCGATTGTCCCGGCGCAGAACCGAGCAGGAAATAAATACCTAGATAATATACATACACCACCTCTTCCTGCCCCACTCTCGGGTTTAACACCCCGAGCCAGCCCCCTGCTCTCCCCAGGTGACCTCAGCCAGCACCACCCTCAGGTTGGTCTCCACATGAATCACCCTGCACTCAGTGGACATTTGGAATCATCCATCCACCTTCCCTCTTCCACCCCTTTTCTCTTACAGGAATCATCACAGTTTTGGGAATACGAGATTTCCAGTGTGGCAGGAATGACATCAGCCTACAGGCGCAGGAGGGGAGAGCAGCCCTGGCCCCCTCCCAGTGCAGGAGGCACCCCAAGGCAGTCCCAGAGATGATACCTGCACCCTTGGCTCAGGTGCTGACACTCACCTGGACAGCCACAGCTTTCCAGCTCTTAGAGACACAGAGCAAGCAAAACCATACCACAAAGACCACTGCTTTTTTTTTTTATCTTTTAAATAACATAACAATATGGTTTTTAATAAACATTTATTGATGCAACCTTGTTACACCCCTAGAATCGCAGCTTCTGGAAGAACCACTTGTTCTTGCCGGTTTTGTACCTGGAAGAGAACACAAAGGTTAGAGAAGGCTCTGTACCAGCAGGTAACACAACCAAACCTGCACCTGAGCTGTCCCAGATAGACAAGAATCAGCAACCAGCTTACTCAGAGATAAATCACTTGGTCTCTCCAGCCTAGGCTGCAACCAGACTTGCTTTAAATATTGAAACTCTAAGGGAAGCAAGTGCCAGCTTCCAGATTCTTCATGAAGGACACACATCCTGTGGTGGTTTCCACCCCCACGGACACGAGCACAGGACATGGCCATCCCACTGGACACCTTGCATGGAGGGCAGTAACCGGGAGCTGCCCTCAGAGAACAGCGCAGGGGCTGCCCGAGACACGCTGGGTCTGAGGCCACACAGCTCCTTCCTCTGAAGGAGCTTCTGAACAGAAAACCAAAAGGAATCAGTAACCCAAGCACTCCTAGGAAAACCATAAGCACTACCCCAGGCCACTCAGCCCAGTGACAGATGAACTTGGCAGTGGGATGCCAGAGCACCCATTGGCACCTGAAAGGCCCTGTTTGCACTGGCACAACACTGCACACACAGACAAGCGAGAAGGAACATGCTCACCAAACGTGCATGCAAGGAAGCTGGGGCACAGGTGCCAACCTGGGGACTCCAGGCTGTGGCACAGCCACCAAAGTCCTCGCCCTGGGGATGAGCACCAACACCATTGAAGAGACGAGCTCCCAACTCACCTCTCCTCAAATTTCACCTTGGCTTCGCGTCTCGCTTTGCGTTTCAGAGCAGGGTCCCTGAACACGTCCTTATTGACCACTGTTTTGTCCAGGGGAATATCCACAGAATACCTGGGCAAAAGAACAGCATGATTTGAAAGGGACACAGTACCTGGCACAGGGCTGAAAACCAAGCAGGGAGCCAAGAGCAGTCTAACTAGTGCCAGGTCAAGGGGCTAGAGCTCTTAAAGCTTCTTCAGTTAAGGAATGACTGAACCACTAAAGGATCCCCAGTTCAGCCTATAAAGAAAACAGCCAACCGCTTCCTGAGAGATGCACAGGTCTAATGAGCTGCTCCGAGAGCTCCAGGGCACTGGGAGAAATGGCTCTGCCAGTCCCAAACAGAGCTCTTTCAAATGCTCATCTGCTGACACTCCCTGAGCAAGGAGAAGGTCCATGTGGTTAAATTAAGAGCCAGCTGCTCCATTCCAGAAGTATACCCCCTCAGCCTCAGACCTCCAACTCCCTGTTTTTGCAGAGCCCGAGCCTCACGTTTACACAGCCACGACACCAACAGCCTCAGTGACTCCGAGCGTTCACCAGAGCACACAAGAAAAGCGATCCCCAGAAGCAGCCGAGACTCCTCCAACCCCGCCGGCAGCAGCGCTTGCCGGGGGCACCCACTCACCGGGTGGGCATCAGATGGTTGTAGTTGTAAACCTTCACAAAGGACTTGATCTTGGACCTCTTGGCGATCTTCTTCTTGCCCATGGCGGCCGTCACTTTGCGCGGGTAGCGGTCGATGCCGGCCACCAAGGCGTGGCTGTACGGGCGGTCCGAGGTGCCATCGTCGATGTTCTGAAACACACGGGGCCGCGGCGTCGGTGGCACCGCGGGGAGCGACCCCCCCGCCCGTGCCGACCCCACGGACCCCGCGGAGCCGCAACCGGAGCGGCCCCGCCGCGCCAGCCCCGCGCTCACCTTGACGATGACGGCCTTGCGCCCCGAGTAGCGGCCGGCCAGCACCAGCACCACCTTCCCGGGCTTCATGAACTTCCCCATCTCTGCGGACACAGCAGCCGGCAGTCAGGCCGAGCCCCGCGCCGCGCCCCGCCCGCCGCGCCCGCGGATGGCGGCGGATCCCGCGCCCGCCCCGCAACTCACCGAGGCTCCGCCGCGATGGCGCCCGCGCCGGAAAAAGGAAGGGCTGGCCGCGCCCCGGCCTTTCACGGCGAGATTCCGCGTCAGTTCCGCGCTGTGTCTCCGCCCTCCCCATCCCCCGGCACGGTAAAAGGGACACAGCACACGGCACGGTGGAGGGCTCGCCTCGCTCGCACTACAGCGGTATTTAATACACCCCGGAGAGCACAGACGGTGAGAAATAACCACACAGGAGTTCAGCTGCAGGTCCCCGTGGCCAGCCCTCTGCCCCCCCGCCCTCAACGCTCACTGGCAGCTGGGCAAGGCAGTTTTGCCCCTGAGAGCAGCAGGGCTGGGGTAAGGAGCTGCTGCTGCTCAGCTCGCAGCCTCCAGCAGCTCTGCGGGGGCAGCCCTGGACAACACACAGTTCCAGCATCATAACACTCTAAGATTTCCCTAAAAGCAAGTATCAAAGAGACAAACTTGGGTTTTACAAAAGCCAGGCTTCTTGAGCCCAAGAGCTGCCTACTTGTGGGAAATGGGTGATCTACAATAAAAACACATCAAAAAGCATCTTTGATGTTTTTCAGCTGCCGAACAGCCAGATCAACCGGGAGACTGAACTTCAGGTTGCTCAGGCGGCTGAGGAGGGTGAGCGCGCTCTCGAAACCCGTGTTGGCCATGTAGCTCCAGGGCTGGTAGTGGGACTGCACCAGAGCTCCGGACTTGCAGATGAGGTTGAGCCAGGAGACCAGGCGCTGCTCGTTCAGTGCCATGCACACCAGCGCCTTCAGCTCAGAGTCCGCGCTGCGCTTGAAGGGGCCGTGCTCCGTGAGCACCGTGTGGATGGCTGCCAGCAGGCTCTGCTTGGGGGTGGTGGCCACCGCTCCTGTCACAGGCAAGGCGAAGGACTGGGAGAGCTTGCGGGCCGGGGATTCCACGAAGGCCTGTCCGTTCTTAGCATTGTAATACTTGACAAAAAGCTCCCAGGGGTGCATGGTCCGCGGCGAGGGGCTGAACGCGGGGATCAGGCACGCGATGGGGGCCAACACCAGGCTCATGCCGGGGGAAGAGGCGTAGAGCCCGTGAGCCATCAAGTCCCGCAGAGCGACCGTCAGCTCCCTGCGCACAGCCAGAGTCAGCTCGTCTCTGCCTCCCAGGGGGACGTCCTGCAGCTCAGAGGGGCAGACAACCTGCTCTGCCTGTTGGTGTTTCAGGGCGAGCTGCCTCACCCGCTCCACCGACAACTCCAGTTTCTTAACCAAGGGGGAGAAGTCCTTGTTGTCTTGGTCCTTCTGCCAGAAGGTGCGGGGGATCTGACCCGTGGTACAGCCAAACTGGCTGACAGCAAAGATCTGCAGCACAGCCAGCACACGGCGCATGAGCTGCAGGCCCGTTTCTTGCATCCTTTTGGCATCTTCTGGGTTCACTATCCAGGTTAGAAAAGAGAAAAACATACTCTCATTAGGGAGTCAACAGAGCTGCTTGTTCATACAGAGGGAGTGTAAATGTCTGCAAATTCCATCAGGCCAACATTCTGACTAGCAGCAGATGCCTCATGCTACACTACTTAGTTCTAGTAAGTTCATGGGGTAAGTAGGGAAGTCTCAAACTCTGAAGAACGCTGGAACCACCCCCAGCTTACAGAGTTCAGAGCTTGAAGAGCATGAATTACAGTGTGTCAGCTCGATCTGTCTGCGTTTTGCACTATCAGCAGTCCCTTCTCTTCCTGACCCCTGCTGAGTACCAATCCCACCCTCTCTGCCACATGTTCAGTGACTACTCTGAGGATCACATAGGGGGAGAGTAAAAGAACTGGACACAGGCCCTCAGCAGTGCAGCTGGGGAAATAGAGAGACCAGCTGCCAGGAAAAAGCAGAGTATGGCTGGTTTGTGCCTGTCAGAACTCCAGGGAGGGATAGCTGGAATTGTGCTGCCAGTGCCAAGCCCAGTGGTGCCCACCTCTGTTCCCAGAAGGCTGGGTGCTGGATTTGTAGGAGCCCCCGCAGTCACAGTGTCCATCTTCCGTCTTACCAGAGCTTCCAACTTCATCTACAACAAGGATTTCACACCATTATTTCACATTTGTGCATCTCAGCTGTGTATACGAAGTATTAAGGGCAACATTCCTTAGACCTCTCTGGACCTCTTTTGCCACTCTATCCTTTTCCTCACCATCAGTTTAGAGAGATTTGTACTTTTCTGTGACCCAGAAGCTGTTTCCAACAACTGTGACCTCCCTGCTCATGACTGTGCCAGGGAATTACACAGCAATTCGGTCTGCTCATCCAAAAACTCATCACTGACCCTGAATGAAGTTGATGAACATTTCGAGGTCCCTTATCTGGGTCTTCAGCTGTTCCACCAGCTGCTCCTTCACCCTGGCTGGGTTTACAATCTGTGCTATGGCAGCATCCACCCGCTGCCGCAGCTCCTCTGGAGAGAGCGTTGCGATATCTTCGCTCAAGTCCATGTCCAGCTTCTTTATCAGCTCATTTATAATCATCTGCAAAATACAAACGAGCAGCATGATTTCACCAGGTGGCACTGCTGCCCAGGGTGCTCCTTTCCCAGACGTTTGCTTGGAAATAGGATGCCTTTGCTGCACAGAAATAATTGCAAAAGACACAGGACAGGTTCACGTGTGTAAACAAACTCCTGACACTCTAATTCAGCTGCTAGCAAGAAATACAGATTGATAAGCATCTACAGTCTGTAAAAGGCTTGCCAGGGCTAGGAAATACAGGAGGTTTTGTGAGCCTTACCCGTTGCCTTTCCATAACCACAGACTGTGGCAAAGAATCATAGCTGCCCTCTTGGTAAGCAAAGGTCTCCAAGTCATCCAGCTGTGTCTTGAGCTGCAGGATCAGCTCTCTGTGCTTCTCCTTCTGGACCTCAATTTGTTCCTGCTTCTCTTGCTCACCCTGAAAAAAAGTTACCAGTAAATCAAATTGAAGACTTACTGTCATAGTCAGGTCCCAGAGAACAGGATCGTGACATGAGGAATGTTTCCTGCAGCTCCATGCACTTCACTAGCGAGCACTGCAAACCAGCCTGAGAAGGAAATGTGTCTAAGCACCAAGGAGAGGTGCCAGCCACATCACCTCGTCTGACAGGGAAAGGAAAGTGCTTCTCCAGGCCTCCTGCACCCACACCCCATCCCACAAGGCCGGGATCCAGGAAGAAAGTGGCCAAATAACGTGTATGTAAATAACGTGCACATATCGCAGATCCTCTGAGTCACCTGTGCCGCAGGTGGGAGCGGAGCGGTGACACACCACTCAGGGCTTCAGGGCACGTCCCTGCGAGCTGGCTCCGAGTCGGCAGGGCCCCGAGCGAGCCTGGCACCAATCTCCGTGCCAACCGCAGCACCGCGGGCAGCGCCGCCGCTGAGCCCCCGCCCGGCAGCGCTAACGGGCTCCAGCCGGGACACGCGCACCTACCGACACCGGGGCGGGCGGCGCGGGGCCAGGAGCCACGGGACGCCGGTGCCCTCCGTGCCCAAACAAGGCCCCGCTCCGGCCGGCCGCGGGCACTCACCGGGGCGGCGCCCAGCCCGTGGGGCAGCGGCGCGGGGCAGCCGCGGAAGGCGAAATCCTCCAGGTCGCGGAGCAGGCGCTGCTGCTCGGCCGGGCCGGCCCGGGCCACCTGCCGCAGGCGGAACTGCACCTGAGCGAAGTGCGAGGCGAGCGCCAGCAGCGCCCCGTGCAGCCGGCGCCGCTCGGCCCGCAGCCGCGGCACCGACTGCGGCGACCCGCCCCCTGCGTCCTCGTCCTCCTCTTCCTCCTCCTCTTCCTCCTCCTCCGCTGACACGGCGCCCACCGGCGCCCAGCGCTCGCCGGGGCCCAGCGAGCCGCCCTCCGCCTCCATGGCCGCCGGTACCGGCGCGGTGACAGCGCGGCCGGCGCGGGGCGGGGCAATGGGCGGGGCCAGCGCGCCCCCTCGCGGCCCGGCGGCGTTCCGGGGGTTCCCGGGGGGGGGTCCCCGCGGGGCCCCCACAGCGGGCGGCGACCGGGCCGGGGATTGTCCGCCCTGCTCCCGCCCCGCCCGGCCCCCGCTCCCGGCCCCGCCGGCAGCCGCGCCCCCTGCCCGAAATAGCTCGGGGCGGAGTCGGCGCGGCCATGGCGAGGTGAGCGCGGTCGGACGGGACAGGCGGCGCCTGCACGGCGCCCGGTCCGCCCGGGGGGGACCCTCCGATCCGGGGCAGCGGGGAACCGCGCCGGGACCGGCAGGGGGGGGCGGGGACAGGGTCGGCCGGGCGCCCACCACACACCTCCCCGCCGGACCCCGCCCGGTTCCCGCTGCCATCCCCGGGGCTGGACCCAGGCAGGGCCCGCGTCCGCGACCCCTTCCTCGCCCCCCCGTCCCCCCTGCGGGCCCTGCAGAGCGCTGTTGGGCACCGGCGGGATGTCCGCTGGTGACACCCTCTGGTCCGCTCTTCCCCAAGGCAACCTGCAAAGACACTGTGGTACGACCGCCCGCGGTACGTGTACCTGGAGTTCTGTGTCGAGGACAGCACAGATGTGAAGGTCGTCATCGAGGACCATCGGCTGGTGTTCAGGTGAGCAGCCGCTGCCCTGCTGACTTGGTGACATGGCCTGAACTGGGGGTTGTTTGGAGGGTAGGGAGGGCTCTGTGAAAGCAGGGCATGCATGGCCTCAACAGTCTCCTAAGCCAGCCTGTTACGGTGTTTTGGCAGTTGCAAAAATGCAGACGGTGTGGAGTTCTACAACGAGATCAACCTGTACGCCAGGGTCAACTCCAAGGTGAGGTTTCCCCCCAACAAACTGTTCCCTGCCGGCCTCTGTAAGGCTCAGAGTCAGAGCCAGCCTGTGCAGTTTTGAGCAGTGTTGCTTAGCATTGAGTCTTGACTGTTTCCTGAGAGTTTCAGTGAGGTGAGCACACGCCTGAGAGCCCTGACGCTGCCCAGGGCTGGTGCTTGGGATGCTGGCTTGAAGAAACAACTTATCTCCGTGGTTCTGTGTCCCACTCAGTCTGTGGGGGACTGAGCTATAAAACCCTGTCTAGCTCTGCAGAGAGGAGTCTGACAGACACTGAGGTGAGGCACCCCTGATCTCTTGACAGGACTCACGGGAGAAGCGCTCTGACCGGTCCATCACGTGTTTTATGAGGAAGTGGAAGGAGAAAGTGGCCTGGCCACGAATCACCAAGGAGAACATCAAGGTGTGTGTGTGGTGCCTGGCAGCCAGGACCAGCTTCAGCACGTGTCCTGTCCCTGTGCAGCACCTCGTGGCTTCCAGGGACCCATCTGTCCCCAGGACAGACACAGAGAGCCCCACAGGGGACCCTAAGACAGAGCTCCCAAAAAAACCCAACGTGACAATCACTGTTAGTCTACAAATCTCTGCCATCCAGGAAGGATGCAGCACCTCTTTTCCTTGGCTCAGGCAGGGTCAGGACCGGTGCCTGCAGGCAAAGGGACACCCCCACTTCCCGCCTCTTCCCAGGCCCCTCACCTGTGCAGGAGCAACCCATGGGCTGTGAGTCCCTGTGGTGCTGCTCCCCCGCTCAGGGGATGCTTTCTGTGCCCACAGCCGGCCTGGCTCTCTGTGGACTTTGACAACTGGCGAGACTGGGAAGGCGATGAGGAGGTGGAGAGGGCCATGGTGGAGCAGTACGCAGAGGTGAGCTGGGCTGCTGGCCTCAGGGTCCAGGGGCACATCAGGTGCGTGCTTGGGACTGGGGGGAACCAGCTGTTTGTTTCCCATCCAGATGCTGGAAAAGGTGACAGACAAAGGCCCCCCGCCAGCCATGGATGACCTGGATGTAAGTACCACCTGCCAGCCACTTCCCACCACCCCGCTGAGCAGAGCCCAGGCTCTGCCCTCTCCCAGTGCAGGGCTGGCCTGGCCCGGTCCCTGGCATTTCCCCCTTCTCCCACAGGACGACTGAAGCCCGGGCCCCCGGTGATTCCGCGGCTCCAGGAGCTTCCCGACGCGCCGGTAGCACACACCGATGGACAGGCAGTGCGGGGAGGGTTCTCCGAGGGAGCGGAGCTGCCTCTGCTCGTGCCCCGCCGCGGGCAGCGCACCTGACCCCCCTGGGCGGCAGAAGCGGTCCGGTCTGCCGTGCCCGGTTACCCGCTCGGGGCATTGGGCAATAAACGTGTACTGCCGCAGTCGTCTGCTGTGCCCTCAGGCCGCCGCTCATCCCCAAACGGGAGTCTTCCATCCCCAAACGGGAGTCTTCCATCTCCAAACGGGAGTCTTCCATCCCCAAGCGGGAGCCGTCCATCCCCGCCGGCAGCGGGCGCGCTCCGCCACCGGGCGCGCTCCCGCGCGTCACCCCGCAGGCCCCGCCCGCTCCCGGCGCAGCGGCGGCCGCCACTCGTGCCGTGTCCGTCCCCATCGGGCGGTCGCGATGGTGTTCCGGTGCCAGCGGGACAGCTGGGCCCGGCAGGTACCGGCGCGGGGCGCGGGGCAGGCCCCTCGCCCTGACCCCGGCCCTTACGGTGCCGCCGTGTCTGTCGCAGTTCGCCACCAGGGTGGTGTCGTGCCGGGCGGCGGAGCTGCGGCCCGAGGGCGGCGGGGAGCCGGTGCGCGGGTTCCAGGTGGTGCTGGAGGACACCATCCTCTTCCCGGAGGGCGGCGGGCAGGTACGGGCTGGGCCGGGCCGGGCCGGGGGAGGGCCGGGGCCGGGACCGGCGGCGCTGACTCCTCGTGTCCGCAGCCGGACGATCGCGGCCTCATCGGGGACGTGCCGGTGCTGCGGGTGACCCGGCGGGGCCCCGAGGCCGTGCACTTCGTGCCGGCCGCGCTGGAGCCCGGAGCCGAGGTGCTGCTGTCGCTGGACTGGGAGCGCCGCTTCGACCACATGCAGCAGCATTCAGGTCCGTGCCGGTACCGGGGGTGGGTGCCCGGGAACACCCCGGTTATCCTGGGAGGGGGATGCCCGGCAGCTCTGCGTGCACAGTCTGTCCCCGGAGCCACTTGGGACATGTCAGTGGGATATACACAGTGGGACTGAAAATACCAGTGACACTCAGAGCTGGTGCTTGCGTGTCTCTTCCAGGACAGCATCTCATCACTGCCATTGCAGAACAGATGTTTGGATTCAAGACAACGTCATGGTGAGCAGGGTAAAGGTTCCTTTTGACCCCAGTATTACTACGTTTGGGATGTGCTGCCACGCTGGGCTGCATAGAGCCTGAACATCAATTACACCAAAAGGAGTTTGGGCATTTCACTCAAGTTCAGAGCTCCTGGGAGAGGTGACTGACCTGGAGAGAAGCTGTACAAAGTGTTTGCTCTGTCTTGTCCTCCTCAAGTGTTTGGTTTGCACCTGGTGCTCTGAACATAACAAGGAGAGAAGTGTGTTTTGTTTCAATCACCACATTCCCAGCAGTGGGATGCTGGTGCTACCCATAGGGACCTCCTGGATGGTCTGAGCCACAGCAGCAGATGTTCTTCCTGGGTGCAGGGAGCTGGGCCGTCAGCGAAGCCTCATTGAGCTGGACACCCCCTCAATGACAGCAGAGCAGGTCAAGGCCCTGGAGATGAGCGTGAATGAGAAAATCCGGGACAGGGTCCCTGTGACAGTGAGGGAACTGGCTGCAGATGACCCTGAAGTTGAAAGAGTAAGTGGTGGGAGAGAACTGATGGCATTCACAGGACCAGAATAACTGAGCATGGGCGTCACCTTGTTTGTCACTGTTCTCCTCTGCCAGGTGAGGAGCCGGGGGCTGCCCGACGACCATGTGGGGCCAGTGCGCGTTGTGGACATCGAAGGCATTGACTCCAACATGTGCTGTGGGACTCACGTCTCCAACCTGAGTGACCTGCAGGTGGGTGGTTGCAGCAGAGCTGCCTCTGGGAGCCACACTCCACACAGAGCACAGCAGGAGACCCAAAAGATCCAGAGGCTGCTCCAGACTGTCCCAGTGGGGGAGGTTGTGGTGGCAGCCACAGTTTCCCAGCAGAGGCATCCAGATGTCCTGCAGAGTGCAGCCCGTGACTGGAGAATTGCGTAAATTCCGCTGTACCACCATCTCGGGGTTTTTTGTATGTTGACCTTATGTTTGATTTTAATCAATTTATTTTCACTGGCAGAGAGTCAGTATTCACCACAACGCATAGTCTGGTAGGAAATGGCCACCTGCGTGTATAACCAAAATGTTGTTCTGACCAGCGGGATTTTCTTTTTAAGGTTATTAAACTCCTCGGCGTGGAAAAAGGGAAAAAGAACAAAACCAACTTGATTTTCTTGGTGGGAAACAGAGTGCTGAAATCAGTTGAACAAAGTCACAGTACCGAGAAGGCTCTAACCTCCCTGCTCAAGTAATAACCTTTCCACTTCTGTTATTTCATCTTTACTCTCCCTCCTGACAGATACCCCATAAACCTCAGGGTACAGCTCCTGGGGCTGTTTATGATCTACTTTTGCTCCTTTAGGAAATCCTTGCTTTGTCCTTCAGAGCAATGATCCAAACTCTCCCCGTTCTTTCAGGAACGGACCAGGTGAGCATGTAGAAGCCGTGAGAAAACTGCAGAGCTCTGTGAAACTGCTCCAGAAGGTATGAGAATGCCCAGGAAAAGTGGGTTGTGGCTGCTTCCTGTAGACCTGAGCTTCAGTTGTGGTAATTGGGAATTAAATCGTAGGCCTCAGTTTTTGTGGATATTATGGAAAGTGCTCTGACCTCTAGGAACACAACTGTGTCCACACTGACTTCTTCAGCTGCAGTAGAGTTCCTTTGCTTTTCTTTCAGAATAACCTGAACCTGCTTAGAGACATTGCTGTTTTGATAGCTCGGGACTTCAAGAGCAAACCTGCTCCGAGGCAGCTGTTTGTGTTACACAGGTATGGGGGAGCTCAGGGAAAAGGGGCCAGCAGTCTCTCACATGTATTATGGCAGTTGCTTCTCTCACACCTATTCAGGCTTGTTTTCTCAAGGAAAAGTATAAACGAGGTGAACTAAATATTAAACTGCCTCAGCCTGCTGGAAAGTTCTGTAATTAAAGAAATCTGTTGGTAATTCAGTCGCTGACTTCTGGTTTTGTAGCTGAGAAATTAGTGCATCCATCTCATTTCTTCCTTTTGAAGTGTTTGTTGTTTTTTTTTTTTAACCCATCCACACAGGAAAGAGGGTGATTCTGAATTTATGAACATCATCGCTAATGAGATTGGGACAGAGGTGAGTTGGTGATGAAGACTGACCTGACACCACCTGTTTTCCACCTGAGCTGTACACAGACAGGGGCTGGCCAGGCTGCTGTTCCTGCTGCCTTCATGAGCTGCAGGTCTGGTTCCTTTTGGCAGTTACCTGAGGTTACCTGTCCCCAGCAGCCTCAGTCTGCAGGGAAATCCTCAACAGTGAGAATTCAGAGGACTGGGGAAGAGCCTGACCCCCAAAGCTGCACAAAGTCTCATTGGATAGGATAAGATAGGATGGGAATAGAATAGAAAGAGTAGACTTTCAGTTGGAAGGAACCTACAACACTCATCTAGTCCAACTGTCAACTGTATCCTTTTAATTTGGGATACCCCAGTACCATGTTGTCCCAGCAACATATGACAGAACTAAAGGTTCAGAAGCCATTTTCCTTTTACTTTTTTCAAGAAGTCTCTGTCTCAGTAACACACATAAGCTTCTGAATTGTCAGTGTGCTGTTTGGGTCCTGTGGCCAGTGTCGGTCCTTTCCCTGAAAAAGGAAGGCACTGGTTAATCTGCAGCAACATCCATCTCTGTCCACAGGAAACCCTGCTATTCCTGACTGTGGGAGACGAAAAAGAAGCAGGACTCTTCCTCCTAGCTGGACCTGTTGAAGCAGTTGAGAATTTAGGTCCCAGGTACGGTGTTTTGTGGTTTGTTTAAAATTAATCATGACGTCGCAGACTGACCATCTTCGCAGCGTAATCCGGGCACGGATCCACGTTTGCTGTCTGGAGCAGGTTGGGCTGCAGCCTGTGGTGTTGTTGCTGCAGGGTGGCAGAGCTGCTGGGAGGGAAAGGAGCTGGAAAGCGTGACCGCTTCCAGGGCAAGGCGACCAAGATGAGTCGTCGAGGAGAAGTGCAAGCTCTGCTCCAGGAATTCATCAGCCATCGAAGCCCTGAAGTGTAAGAAATAATTCTCAAAGCAGGGCTGCCTTCCCTGTTTTGCACAGACCCCACTAACTTCTCTCCTGGAGAATAAAGACCTGAACCCAAAAGCTGGTGTGCACATGCTCTGGGCAGGCTGGTTTGGTGCTCACGGAAATGGGGAGGGGATCTACAATCCGTGCTTTGCTGCAAGGGCTCTTTCATTTCCCCGGCCAAAGGCTACAGGGGTTAAAGTAGTCCTTAGTTTACCACTTTGTAAGGTTACTAAAACCAAGAGGGGCCTCTGGCTGGCAGTACATGGGGACCTTTTGCTTTGCACCAGTTGCTGAGGAGCAGTTGCTTGGCAGTAACACTCAGCGAGAGGCCACTGGTCCTCCCTGACGCCTTGGCCTGCGCAGGGACAGAGAGCATCCAGAAGGGACAGTGGGTGGTCCACGGGCAGGAGGTTGTTCCCCACCACGTACCAGTCCTTTCCCTTGTTGAGATGCAGTTATTATTGGTCCTTTTTTGAACACTGAGAGTTTCTTGGGCGCAGCTGCAAACTCCCTTGGGATCAGGCAGCCCTGCTCCCAGTGTTCCTTAAGCTCGCCTTTCTACCCCGGACAGGCCCTGAAGCTGCTGCAGTCTCAGCTGGAGGAACTAAAGGGCGCTGTGGAGCCACAGTGAGGCACAACAGGCGGTTTGGGAATTTTTTTTTCTCCTTCTTGTTAGAAACGACGTGACAGGTTCACTTTAGGTGTTGGTAATAAACAGAGAAATAGAACAGAAGAAACCTCCGTCCTAACGAAGTTTGTCTGTCATGAACAAAGGGATGGTGAAGCCCAGCACATGATGTTCCCACAAGTGGCTGCTGTGGGGCCACAGGACAGTGTCAGCACACAGGGAACACCGCTGGAGCTGGAGCTGGGTGTAGGGTCAGTGCTGCAGGCACTGGTGTTGTTCAGGGGAGATTCTGCACACGCACACACACAGAGTCTGGCAGGAAGAAAGTATCTGCACCTCCATATCTATTTTAGGCTCAGACTGAGCGAGGATGTTTACTGAAGGAGTGAGTTGCTGGGCTGTACAGCCTGCAGGGCTGGGAGCTGGAGGGAGCGCGGGGCCGCCACGGGGGGCCGGGATGCCGAGGCTGGGGCTGGGATGCTGAGGCTGGGGCTGGGATGCCGAGGCTGGGGCTGGGATGCTGAGGCTGGGAGAGCCGAGCTGCGGCAGCAAAGCAGCTGTGACCCCACACAGCCACTTCCTGCACCCGGGCAGGCGTTGGGGCGCGTGGTCCACCCCAACGCCAACCCCGCAGCACAGCCCCAGCCAAGCCACTCGGTCCCAAAAGCTGAGCTTGTTTCTGTAAGCAGCAAGGTGACAAGAGTTTGTCCCTGTTCCTGCCACAAGGTGCACCCAGGAACTTTGAATAAACAGCACGAAAAGCAGCTCATCCCTTCTTCCCACCCACTGTGCTGTTGGTGTCCAACTGCAACCCGGGGCAAAAGGCAGTGCCCTTCGCGGTGATCTAAATGTGTTTTACAGGTGTTGGTGTTTCTCATCACTCAGGAGACACGTCCTTCCTCCACCACCCACAGTCCATGCCACAGCCCTGTGCCCAGGAGTGATCCTGCATCCCCACGGCACAGGCCAGCGGGACACTGGAACTCACCAGCTAAACACACCTACAGCTTTAATAAAACACCTCCCGTGCACAGCCACACCCCCATGCCGTGTGTGTATAGATACGTGTACTGTGTGTACACACACAGGTGGACGCTCACCCCACGCTGCATCACAGCAGCAAACACCCAACACCCCAGGGCCGAAGGGTCCCTCGTGCTGGCACTTTATCTCCATGTCACAGTGTCTGCCCGTTCCTGTCACAGAGCTGCCTCTCCAGCAGACCCCAGGCACCCAGGGGTGAGCACCCTGCTCCTGGTTGTGCCGTCCCCAGCCCTGCAGTGCGGAGCTGACGTGTCCCCATGAGCTGCAGAGGGAGTGCAGGGTCTCCCCACCGCTGCTGCTCGGTCCCAGGCAGATAAACCTCCACCCGTGGGTGCGGGAGGGGCAGCAGGTGAGTCCTGGGAGTGCAAGGCTCGCTGTGCCATCAGCCAGGGCACGACTGTCATTGTGGGTCTGTGCGGTGGGAGCCACCCGGCAGCACCACCAGCCCAGCCTCCAGAGTCCACTCCCGGTTCAAAATCAGCAGGGAGCACACAGTGGCTGGGGTGCAGCAGGGCTGGTGGGTGCCCCTGAGACCGGGGCCACTTGCCTGGGCACAATTACCTGCAGGGACGCCCTAGGCAGCCTTCTTGTCCTGCGTGGACAGGAGTTGGGAGAGGCAGTAGGGGATGAGGCTGACAGTAGTGAGCGGCACAGCTGCGCTCTTGCAGAAGGAGAGGGCGTAGAAGAGCAGCTGCATGTGGGAGGGTGGCTTGAAGGCATCAAAGATGTGGAGGATGAGGAGGGAGGCGGCGACGCAGCCCAGGCGGAAGGGCAGCTGCTGGCCCTGCTTGCCCCGGCAGCTCTTCTGGTACATGTGGGAGTTGACAGCCAGCCCCAGCCCGAAGAGGATGCCCAGGTTGCGGAGGAGGCTGGCAAAGGGGGTGGTGTCGATGTGGACCCACTCAGGGCGGTTGCACCACCTCTGTGCCTTCTCCAGTGTCCAGAGCAGGTCCACACCCAGCACCCGCAGCAGGAGGTAGAAACCGATGGTGAAGCTGAAGAGGAATAGGGTGATGCCCGTGTACCGACCCAGGCTGGCGTGGTAGATGCAGCGGATGTGCTGAAAGGTCTTGGCCACAGCCATTCCTGCCAGTGACAAAGCAGGAGGACTGGTCAGTGCAGTCCAGCACGGAAGAGCTGCAGGGAAGGGTATGGAGGATCTGATGCACTTACCTGAGAAAACCCCTGCGATGACTTGGTGGGGGAAGTGAGCGGCAATGAAGACTCGGGACAGGCAGACACAGACCTGAACTGCCCAGAACCCCGTCCAGAGCACCGTCCACAGCACCCTGCGAGGGGCAGGTGGCCACGTCAGTGCCAGGGCCAGCTCTGCTTGTGGAACTGCCCTCCCTTAAACACCTTAAATGCCTTAAACAGTGCCTGGCTCTCTGCTAAGCCCATCCTCATGCAGGCCACACCTGGGGTGCCACAGCCTGGCTGTTTGTTCACAGCCTTGTGCCTCAGTGGGCTTGGCTGTGCCAGTCAGTGCTGGAGCTGCCTCTGCCCAGCACAGGTTGTTCTGCTGCACAGCTTACCAGTATCCGAATGTCCTCGACTGCTTCTTCCCACCAGCAGCGGAGAGGAGGGCCACCACCATGACGTAGTACACACCTGCAGCTCCCATGGCGTGGCCAGATGGGCTCCCTGGGCAAAAAGAGAGCCCCGGGTCAGAGCTGGTGCGGGCCAGAGCTGGGCACAGGCAGGGTTTGTGCTGAACCAGCACCAAGGGTCAAGGTCTGCTCTGTGCAGGGACTTCCCTGCCTCCCCCCACTGCAGGCAGAGCTGGTGTGCCTGGGAGCACAGCAGTAATGGCCCTCTCTCAAGAGCTGGCCAGGAGCATGTGCCAGTGGTGGGCTGCCAGCCATGGCTCTGTCCAGACCAGCACCCCCCTCCCTGCATGTGCAGGTCACCCTGGGCAAGTGCCTGCTGCCCCAGCTGGTGCTGGGGGACCCTACCAGGGCCAGTCTCGCAGGTGAGCGGGAACTGCTGGATCTCTGGGGCGGACTTGTTGTTGTAATAGTCCGTGTCGTGGACCCACCAGTATGGTCTCTCTCCAAAGAGGATCCTGAAAAGAAAGGAGAATGGGGTCTGAGCAGGTTTCGGGCACAGCTGCAGCTTCAGCTCTGTCCTGGGAGAAGCAAAGGACCCACGAGTGGTCCAGGGCATCCCGACAGACACAGCATACAGCTGGTCACTTGGTTCTGACAGCTGACACTGCTTGTCCATGTCCCCATCCCCGGCCCCGAAGGGGAAGAGCAAGAACTTCCTGGGTGCAAGTCAATGCCACCTCCTGTGCTGGGGGGCTCTGTGCAGCCCCTGCTCAGCACCACAGCCCTGGCTGATCAGCAGGGTCTGTTTGTAGAAGGCTCCATCTCTCTGCCTGGCTCTGAGAAGGGGGGAGCTGTTGCTGCATAGCTTGGGAAGGAGCTGAACTCTGTTCTGTGTTCTACTCCAGCACTGGGGCTGAGAGCACCCAAGTGGCCCACGTTAGTCCAGCTGTGCCAACACCTTCGGAGGGAGCTGTGGCTCAGGGCCACTCACCACTTGAAGACAAGGTTGAGCCAGTCTCCGATCACAGCCACCCAGATGAGTCTGATGCCCACTGCCTCGCTGAAGTGGAACCAGATGGGGAAGAGGACAAAAAAAGCATTCCTGAGGTCAGCAGCGTAGGAGATGAAGAGGAACCAGTCCTGGGAGCCCTGGAAGCGCTGCTGCAGCCAGTGTGTCGTTTGGATGCCCAGGTCATGCAGGAGGTTCATGTTGGCCTCCATCCTGCCCTCGGCTCGGCTCCGGCTGCCCCGCGCTCCGTCGGGGTTTTATACTCTGCAGGGTCTTGTTTGCTGCGGGCAGGTCGCTGTCCCAGCACTGATCTTTGGACTCAAAACCACTTTTGCCAAAGGTGCTTCACCGGGGGGGGGGGGGTGTCACAAACATGTTTGGAACAACTTACGTCACAGGGAAAAGCAGGCTCCGAGGGAACACGGAGCACAGGGTGCTCCGGCAACAGCGCTGTCCCCTGCCCCACACTGTCCCCTCACTCAGGGGAATCTTGCAGCCCCAGCTCCTCCAGCCACCCAACACAACAGTTCAGCTGCTCCAGCTGAACTGCAGCCTTTGCTCCATTATCTGTGTGACAGCCCTGCAGAGCTGCCGTGCCCAGGGCTGATACCGCTCCCACCTCTCTGCCATCTCCCCGTGAACCCCCACCAGAGCATGGCAGGGGTGCCCAGGAGTGTGGAGTAGGTGCGTGGAGCAGAGGACAGGCTGCCTACCCCCCTCCTCATTTGCCAGGCTAATTTAACCAGGACTTCACATGATGGGAAACTTTCCAAGCCATTCCTAGAGATCCCTGCAGCCACAGACAGCCAGGCTGGGGGTGCTCCTGGCTGCCAGCCATGTTCTCCTGGTCTCTGCTGTGGGGCTAAAGAACCTTTGCAAATAGGGACGGCATTCCTTCTGCCAGCACTGCTCCACTGGGTTAATCCCTCCTGCACCATCAGACCCCGGCTGAGGGGACAGAGCCAAACATGCCACTCATCCCATGGTACTGGATACCAGCCCTTGGCTGTTCCCTCAACCCCAGCCACACTCTGCTGTCACTGGGAGCACTGTGGGCACCACAACTTTATCATCCACAAACATGCAGCCCTGTGGCAGCAGCACAGGGTGCTCGACCATCACCTGCCACAGCTGAACAGGCAGCTGCCCACGATGGGAGCAGGCAGCAAGGTGTTAATGATCAGCAGCCAGTGAAATGCATCACTTATCTCCCTCCTGAGCAGTCAGGTCAAGATCCTTGAACCACTGCCATATGCTGTTTGCCGCTGTGAGAGTCATGTCCTGAGCAGAGTCCTGCCCACAAACAGTGGGGTCTACAGGCAGCATCCTGTCCCCCCTGCCCACGCAGAGCCCAGGGAGCCACAGCAAACCTTCCTCCCTGGGATAGGGGCATGAGTGGCCTCTGAGAGCAGCAGTGCAAATGCTGTGGGGTCAGCCCCGCCACAGGCACATCCCTGCCCAGGGCTGGTCCTCCCCATCCCTCCCAGCCCAGCCTCGCTGCATCCAAAGGGGACAGTCTGAGCTCCTGACCTACGCAACACCCCAAGAAAACAGAAGTTTGCAAAGCATTGGAGTCACTCTTGCAAAACATATTCCCTAACTGCTCGTTCCAGGGTCCTCAGCTGAGAGTGGCTTTTTGGCCAGCGTGAAGGAATGCAACAGACTTGGCTTCGGCGTCAAAGACATTTTGAAACCATCAGCAATAAATCCTCCACGGGAGATTTCACAGCAGAAAATGGGGCAAAACGTGCTGGGGGGGATGGGGACTAGCACTCCAGTCCCCTTGGAGAGTCACTGCAGGAAACCTGGGGCTGCGGCAGGGAGAGACCAGGAAGCAGGAGAGAAGCAACTACCTCCTCCCTCCCAGCCTGGAGGATGGAGTGGCACAGCCCAGCACCCCTCTGTGCAGTGGCCAGGTGCACGTGGCACGGGCCAGGTCTGTGCCAGAGCTGCCAAGATCCTTCCAGTGGTTTCCCAGTACTGCTCTGTGCCCAGCACTGTGGATAAATCCCTGGTCCCAAAGTCGCTGTGTGGAGCAGGGGCAGGTTGGGGTGCTGTAACACAGTGTGCTGCATGCACTGCCAATGTTTGGTCCAGAACATTCCCAGCTGGGCTGCAAGGTCCAGGCTGGGCAGCAGCGGGTCACTGCCAGCACGGGACTGCGTCAGCAGGCAGAGTCCAGGCAGCACCACACACACACGTGGGCACGAGGCAGCGGGCAGGGGGCCAGTCAGACACACAAGCCCTCAGAGGACCCTCTGGGCACAGTCCCTTCTGTCACCCCAGGGCACTCAGGGGCCACTGCAGCCTCCCACCGAGCCGTGGTCTCAGGTGCTCACTCTGCACTATGCCCCTGGGTGCTGCAGGGAGCTGAGGTGGTTCCCACGGGGAAGAGCAGCTGCCACTAGGGCTTCTCCAGCCCCTTGCAGCATGGTTCTGGGCAGACCCAGCCACTACACCAAGGGGTCAGAGAGGACAGACACCCACCATGCCCCCCAGGGCACCTCAGCACCTGCAGCCACGTGCCAGGACTGGCATCACCCTCCCCAAGCTCCTTGGTGTCCCATCCCAGCCTGGCACAGTGGGGATGGGCTCTGGAGCCTGCAGGATCCCACAGGCCAGGACTTCACCCACAACTGGGGTGCAGGAGCAAGAGTCCTTGCACCGAGGGGCTGAGCACGTCGGGCAGCAGCCAAGGCCAGCACTGATTAATGCTGCTCAGAACAGCTGTTACACATTAACTCCTTGTTTGTCCCATATGTCCCAGCAGGAGCCTCCTACCAGCGCCCTGGGGCCCAGGAGCAGGGCTGGGGCACCCTCACACAGCCATGCCAGGCACTGGGATGGGCGCTGTGCCAGCCCCCTGCAGAGCTGAGCCAGGGCCACCCCTTACAGGGCGCCAGTCTCCACAGCATCAGCCATACCGGGGTCTGGCCCCATCCTTAAGAGCCACAGCAGCACCTGTGAACTACTCAGGTTTGGTTACCCACCCCAGTGCCTGTCTGTTGGGAAGGGCAGACACGGGCAGCCCAGCCCTGTCCGAGTGGAGGGGGGGCAGCTGTGGGCACAGAACACAGGGTGGCACCGGACGGAGATAGAAAAATCACTCCCAGGGGCTGTTTTTTTTTTCAGGGGCTTTGGTTCCAGCTTTAGCAGCTCTGCAGTGCTGAAATGACAGCTGAGCACCTTCGAAAACCGACCCCGAGCACATGGCACGCCGGGCAGGGGGATGGCAGGTCCTGGGGTGGTGACAGAGCCCCTCCAAGCACCTTCCCACTGCCCACAGGGGTGGGGAGGGGGCAGAGGGCCCTGGCCTGTCAGAGCCCGCCGGGTGGCGGTGCCAGGCTGAGGTTGAGGAAGCCCCCAAAGTGGAAGGGGGGAAGGTGGGGGGCACAGGCAGCAGCCGTGGGCAGGCAGGCGAGGGGGTTGGCCCCGCATGCCCTGGTGTCCTGCTCACTGCTAAAATAGACACTGTCAGGTGAGTCCACCGAGGGGTCCTCGTTGAAGTAGTTGTAGGGCCTCAGGAAAAAGCCAACACTGTTCCCCACTGCCACCGTGTTGGGGACGTCTTCAGCGTGGGGGACGTGCAGGAACCCCACAGAGATCCAGGCAACCAGGTCCTGGGCAGGAGAGCAGAGAGGCATTTATCAGGCTGAGCAGGACTGCTCAGTTTGGCTCCAGGACACGTGAAGCCTCTGTCCAGGGCAGGAGCCAGGATAGCACCCACAGGGCTCAGCCCCTCTCTCCCCTCCCAGGACCCCCACCTTACCTTGTTGGCGATGGTCTCGTTGTTGATGAAGTCGGCGAAGGCGACAGTGGGCGTCCAGGGGTCATTCTGGTTGTAGATGCTGGTGCTGGTGGGCTCCTCCTCCTTCCTCCGGGTGACAGCCAGCTGGTACCTGCCAGCACAGGGAGCAAAGGGGCTTGTCCATGGCATTGCTGGCTGGATGCAATGGCAAACTGGGGCTGGATGCATCCCTGATGGATGCCAGGGGACCTGGTCTGTCCTGGGGCAGGGAGGGAAAGGGCTGGCAGGGATAAATGTGGCAGAAACAGGCAGCAGCCCCAGCACCTTTGGGCTTTCAGGGAATGCCTTACTGCCCATGGCTTTCCCAGCATGGCTGAGAAACACAAATTGATCCTGGCACAGATGCTGCTGCTCAGTGCCCAACACAGTCCCTTCAGCCACAGCTACTTCTCATCCATAAGGACTCCCCCAGCACGAGCTCTGTTAGTTCATCCTGGCAGCAAGACTGGTCTGTGCTTATCCCAAGTATTTTCCAAAACACATTCTGTCCTCAAGGGAAGATATCGCAACCTGGGGAAGCCAGTGCTTCCCTTGGGAATTAGTCCTGCAGCTTGGTTCCCCTCAAAGAGAAAAAACCATATGTTGCTTCTCTAAATTAGTCTGATCTGGGGTCAGATTCCTGCCTGTGACCTACCATGAGCAGATGCTATTGAGCAACTTTTCAAGGCAATTCCAGAGCCAAAACCCATGCGTGTTCTCTGTTTTAACCCTTCCCTGCAGCTTGGCACAGGCCTACCCTGAGGTGGCAGCTCCCCCACACCGGGAGCAGGAGGAACCAGGGCTGTGAGTGGGGGAATAGGGAGTGGGAGCTAAGTGCTCCCCAGCCCTGGCACCCACCTGCCCCAGCTGACAGACCGCTCCATGGAGCTGTTGATGGGCAGGTGCTTCCCAGCAAAGCTGATGATCTGGATCCTGTAGCTGCGTGGGTGCCCCCACTTGTTGGGCTTGGGGCTGGCAAAGGAGAGGTAGCGGGGCATGGGGGCGTTGAGCGGGAATGCTGCCTCGTCCTCCCTCTCCAGCCTTTTCCTGCGGAGGTACGGGCGCTCGATGGTGTTCTGCGTGCTCCAGGGATCTTTGATAATCTCGTACTCCATGTCCTGAGTCTCCAGGAAGTTCATCTGACCTGCGAAGCAGAAGGGAAAACACTCTTGACCTCCACACCCCAGGCAGAGCTGCTGTGAACTGCAGCCACGAGCAAAGGTGGCCAGACCTACCGTCGACATCGAGGTCCACCTTGTAGTGCATGTGGTGGAGGTGCATCGTTCCCA